TAGTAGTAGTAGTAGTAGTAGTAGTAGTAGTAGTAGTAGTAGTAGTAGTAATAGTAGTAGTAGTAGTAGTAGTAGTAGTAGTAGTAGTAGTAGTAGTAATAGTAGTAGTAGTAGTAGTAGCAGTAGTAGCAGCAGCAGCAGCAACAGCAGTCGTAGCATTAGCAGTCGTAGCATTAGCAGTCGTAGTATAAGTAGTCGTACGAACGTAGTTGTAGTAGTAGTAGTAGCAGCAATAGTAGTCGCATAATTAGTAGTATGTGCTGTTGTCGCTGTCGTAGTAACATTAGTAGCACTAGTAGCAGTAGAAGGAGTACCAGTAGTAGTAGTAGTAGTAGTAGTAGTAGTAGTAGTAGCAGTAGTAGTAGTAAGTAGTTGAAATAGTCGTAGTAGTAGTAGTAGTAGTAGTAGTAGTAGTAGTAATAGTAGTAGTAGTAGTAGTAGTAGTAGTAGTAGTAGTAGTAGTAGTAGTAGTTTCAGTTGTAGTAGAGGTTGCAGGTAGAGTAGTAGTTGTTGTTAGTGAAGGTAGGTAGTAGTAGCAGTGGTAGCGGCAGTGGTGGCAGTGGTGGTGAGAGCTGGAGTTTATATGTGAGTGGTAGTCGCAATTTTAATAATAGGGGTAGTCGTGGTAGTGGTATTTGTGGTAGCAGGTATAAGAAGTTGGTCGGAGTAGTATTAGTAGTGGCGGCAGTGGTGGTATTAGATGTATTAATGGCTACCGTTTTGTGCATGATGTTAGAGTTGTGGAAGGCCTATTGATGAGGGTCGTAGTAGCACGCGTAACAATGGTGCTGGTAACTCTTGGAGGAGTGATCCACGGGTGCTTGGAGACCCCCGCACCCACAAGACGGGGACGGTGCCTGAACGATTCGACAGCGGCAGCGGAGGGAAAGCAGCATGTGCGGTGGGGGGGTCAGAATCAATCCCTTCGAATCGCTCGAAATCCTTAAGGGATATTTAGGAATATGAATTTTCCTCGAATCCCTAGGTAGGAATCCCTTTTCTGGAATCCCGGAGGGATCGCTGAGGATTTCACTGGCAGCCTTTACGAATCTTAGGCATGTGGAGGAATCCCGGAGGAACCCTTCAGGAATCTTGAGGAATTCCCACGGCCTCCTGTACGAATCCCTATGGACGCCCGAGGAATCTGGAGGAATCAGTTTAAGAAACCGTTATAGGAACCCTTCAGAATCTGGACGATTCCTCAGGATTTCTTAGGAATCCGAAACTGTCGGGAGTTGTATATGTGTGGTTGGGATTGGGATCGGAATAGTTGGCATCCGTTCCAACGCGTTTGGAACTCATTCGATTTTCGGTTGGACCCATTTTCGGCTGGTGCTCGCGCGCACATGCTATTGCGATCGCACCGCACCCCCTGCCCCGACGTGCCCCATCCCGTCCGAGCGTTACCTTTACCCGGGGCACCAACCCCTCCCCCCCCCAGCTAGGGAGGGTCGGGAAAGTGAGGGGTCTAAAATTGCAGATGTTGCGGGCAACCCCACCAGCCCATCCAGAAACGATTCCCATGCGAATGGCTTTGATTAGGGATGTGGAGGTGCATGCGCTGGCATAGATAGTTGGGGAAACTGTCGGACCCCAAGAAGGGGAGGATGGAGGAGGAATCGGACGAGGAGCAGGACGTGGAGGGGGAGTGGAGGAGGAGGAGGAAGGAGGACGAATGAGCGGATAAGGAAGAAAGGGAGGAGGAGCAGGAACAGGAGGAGGAGGAACAGGAACAGGATCAGGAGTAGGAAGAGGAGTAGGAGGAGGAGGAGGGCGAGCAGAAAGGCCAAAGGTTTCTTGGATGCCTCTCGGTGTTTATTCAGATGTGTCTTGCACGCGTCTTGGAGGTCCTCTCGGGGCATCTTAGCGGCCTCCTGGTGGGCCCAGGGGCCTTTCGGAGCGTTTTTGGGTGCCTCGGGAAAGCCGCTTGGGACCTCTTGGGGGTCTTCCTGGGGGCCTCTTGAGGACCCCTTGGTGGCCCTTGGAGCCCTCTTGGAGGAGCTCGATCAAGCGAGGAGGATTCTAAATTAGCGCCGCCTTCCTGGAGCACCTGAAATCGCCTGTTGGGGCACTCTTCGGCGCTCTGGCAGCCGTCTTGAAGCTCTCTTGGCTATCGTGGAACCGTCTTGAGGCCTCGGAGGGCCATCGACAGCGCAACGGCGAGACGTTAAACAGCAGTGTTGCCCCCTAGGTGATTGAGGGAGGCTGGCCTCTTGGTGGCTTCCTTGGAAGCTGTATGGCCACTTGGGGCCGTCTTGGGGCGGTCTTCCGGCCTCTTGAAGCATGTTGGAGGTTGTCTTGAGCCGTGGTGATCCATCATCTTGGGCTCTCTGAAGCTCTCGTGGAGCCGTTTTGGGCCACATTGGACGCTCCAATGGCTCGACGCCCCCCCCGTCCAGGTCAACCCCCTCCCTGAGAGGGGAAAGGTGGTTGGACGAGGAAGCTCCTCCTCCTCCTGCCCCTCCTCCTCCTGGCCCTCCTCCTCTTGCCCCTCCTCCTGCCCCTCCTCCTCCTCTTCCTCCTCTTTCTTCCTCTTCCTCACGCCCAGAGGGCTGGTGGGATGACTGCGTGCAGGTGGTCTGACTGGGCCCGCCCAGAGCGGCTGCGCCCTCCCCATGCCCGAAGGCTGCTCCTCGTTTTGTTCCTATCTCTTGCGTAGGTGGTACCCCAAGATACTAATACTATGTGTGCGTCGCCATCCCCCCAGGGGCGACGCGCGCACCGAGAAATCTTATAGTACATGCGTCGTGGCACGCGTTTTCTGGCCACACCGCTCGGGAGACGATGTACTACAAGATGGTAATACTAGATGTTCGGGTCGGACGCGCGCGCGCGTCTCCAAGGATGACACCTGGTATTAGCATGTTCATGCGCGTCCCATTGCTTCCTCTACCCTCACACCCAGCCCTCAGGATACAGATCGATCCGATTCGATCTCGATTTCGGAGTCCTCGACGCGATTCGGTCCCGATGCTCCGTCGGCCCGGCGCCGCCCAGTGCTTGCACGGCGCTGTCGTGTGCTTTGGCGCAGCCGATCCGATGCGATCTCAACGCGGTGAAAATGCAGAAAGAGCCGACGCACGTTTCGGTCGGATCCGATCTCCCGATTCGATGTTGACCGATCTTGACCCTCTTCCCACCTCCCCCTCTTTCAACCCTCCTTGTTCAAGCGGCTTGCGCCACTCCGCCGACCCACCCAGTTTGGGACTCCCGGCGGGCTCTTGGGGGCATTTGGGAGAGGCTCTTCGCTCCTTCTTGGAGGCCCCTTGTGAAGGCCTCTTGGGGGCGCCTCGGAGGCCCCTGCGGGCATCTTGGAGCTCTTGACCCTCCATCTTCCTCCCACCTCCCCCCACCTCCCCCTTCCCACCTTCCCCCTCCTTCCCCCCCCTCATATCCCTCCTCGCCCCTCCTCCCACCTCCTCCTCTCCTCTCCCCCCCCTCTACCCAGACCCCCGACGTCGTGATTATTTCACAACGCCAAACCCCAGAGGTCTGGACCCCTTCCCGGGGATTGGTTGCTCGTTCTGACTAGTTTTTCCCAACCATCTTGTGGTGTTGGGTCCTCGTTTTGAAGAAACGGTCCCCGCGTTCCTTCTTCCTCCTTCTCCTCGCCCTCCTCCCTCCTGCGTTCGCATGCCTCCCCACCACCCATTTCGGCACACCCCTCACACGCTTCGTGGCCCCATAGGGAGCTCCACCGAAGGCCCCAGTGGCTGCGTTCGCATGCCTCCCCACCACCCATTTCGGCACACCCCTCACCGTGGCCCCATAGGGAGCTCCACCGAAGGCCCAGTGGCTGCGTTCGCATGCCTCCCCGCCCCATTCGGCACACCCCTCACACGTTTCGTGGCCCCATAGGGAGCTCCACCGAAGGCCCCAGTGGCTGCGTTCGCATGCCTCCCCACCACCCATTTCGGCACACCCCTCACACGTTTCGTGGCCCCATAGGGAGCTCCACCGAAGGCCCCAGTGGCTGCGTTCGCATGCCTCCCCACCACCCATTTCGGCACACCCCTCACACGTTTCGTGGCCCCATAGGGAGCTCCACCGAAGGCCCCACGCATGCCTCCACCCATTCGGCACAACCCCTCACACGTTTCGTGGCCCCATAGGGAGCTCCACCGAAGGCCCCAGTGGCTGCGTTCGCATGCCTCCCCACCACCCATTTCGGCACACCCCTCACACGTTTCGTGGCCCCATAGGGAGCTCCACCGAAGGCCCCAGTGGCTGCGTTCGCATGCCTCCCCACCACCCATTTCGGCACACCCCTCACACGTTTCGTGGCCCCATAGGGAGCTCCACCGAAGGCCCCAGTGGCAGGGTCCGCATGCCTCCCCACCACCATTTCGGCACACCCCTCACACGTTTCGTGGCCCCATAGGGAGCTCCACCGAAGGCCCCAGTGGCCGCATGCCTCCCCACCACCATTTCGGCACACCCCTCACACGTTTCCCCCCCATAGGGAGCTCCACCGAAGGCCCCAGTGGCCTTCGCATGCCACGGCACACCCCTCACACGTTTCGTGGCCCCATAGGGAGCTCCACCGAAGGCCCCAGTGGCAGGGTCCGCATGCCTCCCCACCACCCATTTCGGCACACCCCTCACACGTTTCGTGGCCCCATAGGGAGCTCCACCGAACCATCCCCACCACCCATTTCGGCACACCCCTCACACGTTTCGTGGCCCCATAGGGAGCTCCACCGAAGGCCCCAGTGGCTGCGTTCGCATGCCTCCCCACCACCCATTTCGGCACACCCCTCACACGTTTCGTGGCCCCATAGGGAGCTCCACCGAAGGCCCCAGTGGCAGGGTCCGCATGCCTCCCCACCACCCATTTCGGCACACCCCTTCACACGTTTCGTGGCCCCATAGGGAGCTCCACCGAAGGCCCCAGTGGCGCGGTGCCTATGAGAAGAGGGGCCTAGTTTGCGTGCCCCCTCCTTCGTCTCATATCCGTGCGGTACTCGCAGCTGCATATGGTTGGGTCCTTCGCCAGGCTCATGTGACGGTCCCCGGGCCCGGCGAGGGCCCCCGGAGGCCAAAATTAGCCTGGCGAAGGACCCAACCATATGCAGTTGTGAGTAATGTTGGTGTGAGTACCGTCTTCGGTGGATCTCCCTATGGGGCCACGAAACGTGTGAGGGGTGTGCCGAAATTGGTGTGGGGGCGGCATGCGAACGCAGCCACTGGGGCCTTCGGTGGAGCCCCCTATGGTTCCACGAAACGTGTGAGGGGTGTGCCGAAATGGGTGTGGGGGCGCATGCGAACCCAGTCACTGGGGCCTTCAGTGGAAATCCCCATGGGGCCACGAAACGTGTGAGGGATGTGCCGAAATGGGTGTTGGGGAGGCATACGAACCAGGCCACTGGGGCCTTCGGTGGAGCTCCCTATGGGGCCACGAAACGTGTGAGGGGTGTGCCGAAATGGGTGGTGGGGAGGCATGCGGACCCTGCCACTGGGGCCTTCGGTGGAGCTCCCTATGGGGCCACGAAACGTGTGAGGGGTGTGCCGAAATGGGTGGTGGGGAGGCATGCGACCCTGCCACTGGGGCCTTCGGTGGAGCTCCCTATGGGGCCACGAAACGTGTGAGGGGTGTGCCGAAATGGGTGGTGGGGAGGCATGCGAACCCTGCCACTGGGGCCTTCGGTGGAGCTCCCTATGGGGCCACGAAACGTGTGAGGGGTGTGCCGAAATGGGTGGTGGGGAGGCATGCGGACCCTGCCACTGGGGCCTTCGGTGGAGCTCCCTATGGGGCCACGAAACGTGTGAGGGGTGTGCCGAAATGGGTGGTGGGGAGGCATGCGGACCCTGCCACTGGGGCCTTCGGTGGAGCTCCCTATGGGGCCACGAAACGTGTGAGGGGTGTGCCGAAATGGGTGGTGGGGAGGCATGCGGACCTGCCACTGGGGCCTTCGGTGGAGCTCCCTATGGGGCCACGAAACGTGTGAGGGGTGTGCCGAAATGGGTGGTGGGGAGGCATGCGACCCTGCCACTGGGGCCTTCGGTGGAGCTCCCTATGGGGCCACGAAACGTGTGAGGGGTGTGCCGAAATGGGTGGTGGGGAGGCATGCGGACCCTGCCACTGGGGCCTTCGGTGGAGCTCCCTATGGGGCCACGAAACGTGTGAGGGGTGTGCCGAAATGGGTGGTGGGGAGGCATGCGGACCCTGCCACTGGGGCCTTCGGTGGAGCTCCCTATGGGGCCACGAAACGTGTGAGGGGTGTGCCGAAATGGGTGGTGGGGAGGCATGCGGACCCTGCCACTGGGGCCTTCGGTGGAGCTCCCTATGGGGCCACGAAACGTGTGAGGGGTGTGCCGAAATGGGTGGTGGGGAGGCATGCGGACCCTGCCACTGGGGCCTTCGGTGGAGCTCCCTATGGGGCCACGAAACGTGTGAGGGGTGTGCCGAAATCGATGATGATGATGATGATGATGATGATGATGATGATGATGATGATGATGATGATGATGATGATGATGATGATGATGATGATGATGATGATGATGATGATGATGATGATGATGATGATGATGATGATGATGGGAGGAGGGAGGGGCGGGTGAGGAGGAGGAGGTGAGGAACGCGGGGCGCCGTCTCTTCAAAACGAGGACCCAACACCACAGGATGGTTGGGAAATAGTAGAAAACTTCCCGTCGTGATTTTTTTCACAAAGCGATGGGGTTGGGGTGTTTTCCGACCCCTTGTGTCGCCCTGTGCCCGAGGCGAGTGGCGTGGCGCGCTGGGCCACCTCCACGCCCTCCGGGCCGGGCGCGTCGAGCCGGACGCGGTGGCCTGCAACGTGCTCCTGGGCGGTGCTCGACGAGGGGGGCCCTCGCAGGGCTCGTTTCGATTCTTCCGATTCGATTCGATTCGATTTCGATGGATTCCGATTCCGATTCCGATTCGACTTCAGATTCCGATTTGCATTCCGATTTCTGAATGAAGACTTACTAATTACTCTGCCGATTGCAGCCGATTCGACTTCTCCCGACCTGGCTGCCGATTTCCGCCGACCCGATGACTTTCGATCGCCGATCCGACTTATTGATTCAATTCTGGGCTCTCCTGCCTCACATCGAGCACTGGCGAAGCGTCCCGGCTGGCGGTTTGCACGAAGATAACCTTCCGTGTCTGGTCGCACCTCCAGACATGATCGCGTCGTACAAAAATCACGGCGGGGGGGGCCGTGTTCGGGTTCCGGGGGCCCTCGCCAGGCCTCAGGACCGTCAGAAAACGATTCAGGATGAGGAATTGGTCCATCATCATCAGCAGCAGCAGCATCAGCATCAGCATCAGGATCATCAGCAGCATCATCTTCACAATCAACAGCATCGCGATATCATGATCACCGCCATCGTCACAATCGTATTCGTCATCAGGTTTTCTTAATCCTGCTCATCACCATCCACACACATGCACATACTCATCACCATAGTCTGCAGCATTTTCATCGCACACACACGATGTTCTTACACACATCATCACCACACCATGTTCTCATACTCATCAAAACCATCACCGCACCACCATCTGCAATCATCAACACACCATCACCATCAACCATGTCCAATTCACACACACACACACACACACACGCATTTATGTTCAGAAACTCTCAGGCGGGAGCCTCGTCTGTGTATGACCCCTTCCCTTTGGGGCCCACACCTCATGTTATTAATTCCGGGGGTCGCCCTCAAGCGTTAAATGTCATTTTGGGGCTCCACAGGCCTGAAGACGGAGGGAGTATCATGCGGGAGCCTCGTCCGTAAGCGAATTGCGAGGAAGTCTCAGGCGGGAACCTCCTCCCTATGGGGCCCGCAGCTCATGTTTTTAATCCGAGCGGGTCATCCTCAATTGTCACTTACGGAATCCACTGGCTTGAATATGGAGGGAATATCAAGCGGGAGCCTCGTCTTCGAGTGGATTGCGAGGAAGTCTCAGGCGGGAGCCTCGTTTGGGAGTGAATTGCGAGAAAAGCTCAGGCGGGAGCCTCCTCCCTATGAGGCCCGCGGCTCATGTTTTTCATCCGAGCGGGTCATCATAGTGTAATTGTCGTCACTTTTGAGCTTCACAGACCTGAAGATGGAGGGAGAATCAGGCGGGAGCCTCGTGTGTGAGTAAATTGCGAGGAAGTCTCAGGCGGGAGCTCCCTCTCAGGTCGCACAGGTCCCAAATGTTTCACAGGTACCAGCAGTCTCACAGGTTCCACAGGTGGCACAGGTCGCACAGATCCCACAGTCCCAGCGCGGGCCCCGCAGGTCACACAGGAATTACGGTGTGCTTTCGCTTCGCGCACAAGTCCTAAAGGTCGCGCAGGCCCCACAAGTCCCACAAATACCAAGGGGCCCACAGGTCCTACTGGGCCCAGAGGTCCCACGGGTCCCACAGGCCCCGCAGGTCCCATGGGCCCCGCAGCTCCCACTGGCCCCGCAGGTTGCAGGTCCCACGGGCTCCATAGCTCTCACAAGTCTACGAGGCTCCACAAGTTCCGGGGGTTCCACTGGTGCCACGCGATCCACGGGCCCCGCTGGTTCCACAGGCCCCACGCGGCCCGCAACGCCCTCAAGTCTCACAGGTTCCACAGGGCCCGCAATCCCTACAGGTCCCACAGGCCCACAGGCCCCACGGGTCCAACAAGCCCCACAGGTCACACAGCTCCCACGAGTCCCACGGGTCCCAGAGGTCGTGTTGTGGTATCCTGACATCCTGCCATCATCACAGACGTTAATCGTCGATGATGAGATTCTCATGCACACTCAGGACATTATCATGTGGGGTCTTTTTCCGCCAGAATAATGATATTACATCGGCAATGGTCTAAGCACATTGTTTTCGTTGCTCGAGCCTTCTCTGGTTCTGTGGAGGCTTCATGGTAGGCCCATAGGAATGCCTAGACGGTCGGTCCCTGCTCAATCACCTCAGCGACGGAAGAGCATCGGGGATCGACGTTCGATCCATACCCCTGCTGCAGCCCCCAACTGTGGCCGCCGCCAGTGGGGGCAGGGCATGGATAGAAGATGTGTCTCCAGAGGCCGGATTTTCATCCATGCCCTTATTCGGCACTTTCGTAGAGCTCTGGCGTGAGCAGGGGTACGGATAAAGTGTCGATCGCTTAGAAAACGAGGTCGACTACGCCGACAGTCGCACGGAGGCTTCACACGTGAGATCGCACGCACACGCGCACGCACGCACGTACACACACAGGAGGGCGTCTTAGAAGCATTGCTGCTTCTCAGAAGGCGCGAGCCTGATCTGTAGATGTAGGGCCGGCGCCTTCTAAGAAGCAGCCTCCTAAAAGCCTTCCCGCCTCCCCCCTTACCCCCCTTGAGCGCGCCGCCAATAAGTTTCGTTTTGTCGCTCACCTGGAGTCAGATACGGGCGTCGCGTGTCTTTGAACACTGCGGGCGTTTCGGCCCAGCCAGCGGAGGCCGCAGGGCGCTCAGGGGCATCAATCCGGCCCGGGAAACGCCGCGGAAAGTTGGAGTCCAGGGCTCTGGCTGTGGTTTCTCTTGATGCTGTAATTCTCAGCTTCGTTTAGGCGCTCTCTGTCCCCATCCCCATCCTGATCCCTTCCGTCCCACCACCCCAGTTGGTGATATGCCCCTCGAAACCCGAAGGGAACTCCTACATCCCCATCCAGGGAGGCAAGTTGGCCCGTAGCCCGTACGGCCCAGGCCGCGACCGTGGGGATAGGGATCGGATAAACCATGCTCAGATGTTACAACTTCTTCGCGACGTCGGATCTCGCGGCAGGACGAAGGTAAATTGTTAATGAGCGTGGTCCGCGCGGAGTCTTTCTAGGCTTCCTAGATGGGGTCGGAGTAGATGGGGTCGGAGGACCGCGCCGCATCACCGAGGCATCGCCGATGCGGTTCGATGAGAAGCCTGATTTCCTTCACGTCGACGTCGCCGATGCATCACCCACGTTGACGGTGCATCGCCAGTGCATCGGCGATGCATCGCCGATACATCGCCGATGTATCGGCGTTGTGGCGCGATCCCCCGACCCCATCTATTCCGACCCCATCTAGGAGGCCTCTAGCTTTGAGGCAACGCTGGCGCCGCTACTGGCGCGCTTCGCGCACCAAGGATCCAGCGCCGACCAGCGAAATCCGCCCCGTGTCTCCTACAGGCTGCGGCTTTGTCGTTGTTGTATTCTCCGCGAGGTGATTTCTTGACAACAAAAATGAGTTTGTTTCGGTGTTCTGGCAGGTTAACAGTTCTTGTTCCCTGATTAAAGCAACACAAAACAATACTCAAAAACAAAAACAAAAAACAAAAAAACAAGCAAACAAAAACAATACACAAAAAACGCCCCGTGGCAGGCGGGCCCCCCCTGCTGCTGATCCCCGTGGCCCCCCGCTGATCCCCGAGGCCCCCGTCTGCCAGCATCCTGGAGGGATCCCGGGGGGGGGGGGGCGTCGCAAAAAGAGCCTCTTTTTCCAGATTCGGGCAAGTTTACTCGCATGACGTTCGCCCCTCCCCCCCCCCATCTCGCCCCTTTTCAAGCGAACACTCTAGCGCGCAAGTGCCTTTCGACTTCCGTGATCTCTACAAGTCAAGTCGTGTGCGGCTTGCTGCAGGTTCAGGCCCCCCAGCCCATGCAAGCAAAGTTGCCGGCGTCTAAGAAGCAAAACCAGGCCAAAAATCGGATCGGGCCAGGGCGGGGGCCCAGACGCACGCCGGTGTTGGAAGGTTGGTATTTTCGGATGCCCAACTCCTGAGCTGCGCTGGGCGCCCTCCTGCCTGGAGAGTCGAGAGCGGCTGCCTCTGTTTCGGCGGCGAACGAGGGGGGGAAGTGAGAAGGGGCGGGCCTTCTCAGGAGGCTCAGAAGTCCCCCAGCCTTCTGAGAAGTTTTCTAAGCCCTCCCCGAAGACACAGAAAACTTCTCAGAAGGCGCGAGGGCTTCTGAGAAGTCCCGCCGCCTTCTGAGAAGGCCTGCTCCTTCTCTTTCCCCCCCCCCCGCGCCCGCCGCCGACTGTTGCTTCATCTGCAGGTGGCGGGCGGTCTGCTCCCAGCTCCGTGGGCATGCTCGCGGCGTGCAGGAAGCGCGGCGGGGGGCGGGCTTCCGAACGAGTTCGGCCTCCGGAGGTCCCGTGCCGAGGCCCCGGGCACCGTCACAGAAGCCACGCGGGATGGAAGGTCGAGAGTCCCAAAAGGGTCGGGGTGTGTGGGGACCGCGCACTTCGTGCACGCCGGCCGTTGAACGTAGTAGGTATTTCCGGACTCCCAGATCCCAATCTACTTCTGGCGCCGTCTATTTCAAGGATCGACTGGTTTCCTTCTTCCCTCCTCTTCAGAGGGCGGGCGGAAGCCCAATCTACTTCCAACGCCTCCCTACTCCGTGTTTCTACCCACTTCTTCCGCCCAGCGTGTAAGACTCAAGACGTGGCATGTCTGGGGATGGGTCTCGTTCCAGCGGCGCTCCAGGGCGCTCGCCTCGCAGAGCGCTCCTGGCGTGCCCCGGAGAGGCCGCGGCGCCCTCGGCAGCCTGCGGAGCCGCCAGATCCCAGAGGTCCTCGTTTTTCCCCGACCCGATTTTGTCCTGGTCCTGGCTTCGCCTCAGGGTTGAGTCGGGCACGTCCCTCTACAGGGAGAATCTTCAAGCATAGTCCACAGATAGTCTGGGGACGATGTTTCCACTATGTTTGAGTATGGTGTGGCTAGCTTTCGTTTGTCTTCCAGAATCCACCTGTAGGAGGACATGCCCGACCTAACCGCAGGGCGGGTCTTGGCCGCCCCAGAGGTGCGGGCAGCTCGTGGAGGAGGGTGCTGTGGCTGCTGGGGGCTGTCCTGGCGCTCCGCATCGCCCCCAGCGCGGCCACATTCAACGTCACCGCGACGGCCTGCGCCAAGGCCAGGCTCAAGTCGGGCATGTCCCTCCACCGGAGGAGTGCTCAAAAATGTTTTAAACAAAAAACTATGCTTGGGACCTGTTCTATCACGTGTGGTTATGTTTGAGAGCATCCTTCGATTGTGGAGCCCTCTTCTTCCAACGTCCGCATGTGGGAGGACATGCCCGACCGAAGGCCAGGCAGTGGGAGCAGGCGCTGCTCCTCGTCGCGAGGCTGCGGGAGGAGCGCCTGGCGCCGACGCGCCACTCGTACACCGTGGCCCTTGGCTCCTGCCGGCAGGGGGCGCGGTGGTCGCTGGCGCTGGACCTGCTGCGTGTGGCCTCGAGGCAGCAGGCGAGCAGAGGGACCGCGCCAAGGGGAGGATGAGGAGGAGGACGACGAGGAGGACGAGGAGGAGGAGGAGGGGAAGGAGGAGGAGGAGGAGGAGGAGGAGGAGGAGGAGGAGGAGGAAGGGGTCCTGCGGGAAGCTTGTGCTGGATCCGGGGGCCTTCCCCAGAACTGGCTTTTCACTCCGAGTACTTGTTTGACGGTCCCACGGCCCGAATCCAGAAGGGACGCCCCCCCTCGATGGTCGAACATGTTGACAAGAAGCAGAGGCCTTTTTTCCTTCAGAGCCCCTTATGATCATAATTCGTTTGCTTAGTAGTATTAATATTATCGAAAACGCCTACGGCGAATCACCGCCGCCCCCTGCCTTTTTGGAAACGCCTATGTGGCCGAACGTTGTGACCAGGGGCCAGCCAAGTTATCGGACCATGTGCTCCCCGAATCGGTTTGGAAAGCCTTCGGGGAACACGTGGGCATCTTGAAGGTCCTATTGGCCGTCTGGAGGCCATTTTGACCCTTGCGGGTCTTCTTGGAGGACGTCTTGGAGGGCTCTTGGGCCGTCTTCGAGCCCATCTTGAGCGTCTTGGAGGCCTCTTGGGCCGTCTTGGGGGCCTCTTGGGGCCGTCTTGGGCCTCTTGGGAGATCTTTGGGGGCTCTTGGGTTGTCTAGGGCCGTCGGAAGGCCGAAAACCAGCAAATTCCACCATCCTTCCAAAACTCATGGGAAATCAATGATTTTGGATCCGGCCTTCCAGGAGGCCCTCTTGGAGGCCTCTAAGGCCGTCTTGGGCCATCTTAGGGCCATCTTCGGCCGTCTTGGTGGGGTCCTGGCCCGTCTGACGCCGTCGGAAGCCGTGTGGGGAGCCTCTCTGGGCTGGGCGTCTTCAAGGCCTCCTGGGGCGTCTTGGGGGTCTCTTGGGGCCGTCTTGGGAGCCTCTTGGGCCGTCCTGGGGCCATCTGTCGGCCTCTTGGGCGATCTTTGGGCGATCTTTGGGGGCTCTTGGGCCGTCTCGGTCCGTCAGAAGGCATAAAGGAAGCAAATGTCAAAATCCTTCAAAAACCTTTGGAAAATCACTGTTTTTGGCCTTTTTTCTGGTTTTCCTGGAGGCCCTCTTGGATGCCTCTTGGGCCGTCTTGGGCCAGCTTCGAGCCAATTTCGAACAACTTGGTGGGTTCTTGGCACGTCTGACGCCGTCGGGGGCCGTCTTGGGGGCATCTCTGAACCGACTTGGGGTCCTCTTGGGGCGCTTCGGGGCCGTCTTGGAGGCCATCTTTGGCGTATTGGGGGTCTCTTGAGCCGTCTTGGGGTCCTCTTGGGGCCGTCTTGGTGGCCTCTTGGGCCGTCCTGGGGCCCTCTTGGAGGCCTCGTGGGCGATCTTGGGGCGATCTTGGCGCCTTGAGCCGTCGGAATGCCGAGAAGAGGCAAATGCCAAAATCCATCAAAAGCATAAGAAAATTAAATGATTTTGGCCTCTTCGAGCCATCCTGGAGCACCTCTTGGAGGCCTCTTGCGCCGTATTGAGGCCTCTTGGGCCATCTTGAGGCTATACTACGCCATCTTGGGTACATCTTGGGCCGTCTTGGATGCATCTTGGGGCCATCTTAGCCGTCTTGGAGGCCATCTTGGCCGTCTGGGATGCATCTTGGAGGCCATCTTGGGCCGTCGTGGAGCCGTCTGGACAGGGAAAAACCCTTTGGAGCCGGGTCGAGTCAAATTTTCGGCATCTTTTCGGGTGGCCGGCGGGTCACGCCGGAGCCCCCGGGGGAGTTCTTTTGGAGAAAAAAAAAATCAAACACGATGGGGGAGCCAGCTCTGCCCCGCTTTCGCCTGAATGCTGGGGGGGGCCAGTACAGTGGAGTCCGACGCAGACCCAAACGGGACCTCGCCATCCTTGGGGGGATGCGAAATGTGAAATTGTCGCCACGTTCGAGGGCTGCTGGGGGGACCAACACAGTGGGGTCCCACGCAGACCCAAACGGGACCTCGCCATCCCTGGGGGCTGCGAAGTGTGAAATTGTCGCCACTTTCGAGGGCTGCTGGGGGATCAGCACAGTGGGGTCCCACGCAGATCCCAAAAAGACCTCGCCATCGTCTCGCTGCTTCTGCCGAGGTGATTGTTCTTCCACCCCGATGTATTCCTCTTGCTTCTCCTTCCCAGTACAATGCCTCATGGCCTTTTGTACCTCTGTTCTGCGAGTCGGCCACGCACACATCGCACGACATAGACATCCGCCGTGCACCGTCTCTTGCAGTGTTGCTGTCACATTGTTTTCGGCACACCTTATTTCACCCCTTGGTGCCGATGGGTTGGGTACGTCGCAGGATAATTCGGTTTCCTGGGGGCCTCGTGGGGCCTTCAGGGGGCCTCTTGCGCTCTCTTGCGGGCTTCTTGGGGCGGAAGGCTTGAATTTTCAGTGCGTGTTCCCACTCTTGGGGCCCTCTTGGGGCCCTCTGGGGCGATCTTGGGCGCCGTTGGGGCCGTTTCTGGGCCCTCTTGGACCGTGCTGGAGCCCTCTTAGGGGCCTTTTGGGCCATCTTTGGACGGTCTTGGAGGCCCTTGGGGCCATCTTGGAGCGTCGGAAGCAAGAAAACGCGAGAACGCGAACACCTTCGAAAAACAACATGCAAAACGATGATTGTTGTCTCTTCGGGCCCTCTCGGGGGTCCACTTTGGAGCGCTTTTGGGACGCTTGGGGCCATAATGGGCGTCTTGGAGCGCGCTTGGGCTGTCTAGGAAGTCTCCTGGGCGCTTCTTGGGCTTCTCTGGGCCCGGTTTGGGCCCCCATTGCCTCTGGAAAAGTCACGCGCGGCAGCCCAGGAGCGAGCGGGAGCGCACAGGAAGCTCGAGAATGTGAGGCCCCAGCCCTTAACATATAGCAGAGAACATAATTGTCTGGGGGTAACTCCACTTCGCGCTTCGGGGCACGGTGGCGGATCTTCTTATCATTGTTGTTAGTATTACTATTTTTCCTCAGTTGTAGCATTATCATTATTATGAGTATTATAGTATTATTATTATTATCAATACTAGTATTATTATTCGTATTAGCATTGGCATTCGTAGTCCTAGTATTTGTTTGTTGCTGTTGGGGGTGGTGTTGTTGGGTTGGTAGTACTATGTGTAATGATTTTCCAGATTGATTGTTTCACTGATACGGCTCATGGCGATATCCTCCCACAGCGCGCAGCGCTTGCGGTTTTCGGCTGCGGAAGCCAGTGCGACACCCAGAACTTCCGGGGTGCATCAGCGTCTCGGGCCGCCCTGGGTCCCTGGAGATCTCCGAGTTGGCACTCGGCACCGCGCTCCGTCAGAGGAGGAAAACGCACCCATACCCTTAGCCTTCACTCTTTTCGGTTCGCGTTTTTGGACCTCCGCGGGGGGCTTCGGTCGCCGCGGCTGGATCTTCGCTCCGATCAACTATGGTCGGAACGATTCCCGGGGTAGGTCCGTGGAGTGGTGGTAAAGGGAAGATGCTGAAAGAAGGACCACTTTGGGTTCGGAAGGGGCTCGCCTTTCCGTTGCTCATTCCGTGTTTTTTCTTCTACCCCCTCTCGTGCACCAAGGCTCCTTCGGCGGCAACAAGGAGCCTCGTTCCGTACCTTGCGTTCCTTGTTGCAGCGCCCTGACTGTATCGAGATTTTGGGGCTTCCCGAACGACGGGAGCAAGACCGCAACCCCAAAACGAGGCCCACGCTGCAGCGGGTACATTATTGTGTGAAGACCGGAGCAACGCTCATATTGCAGCACACATCATCGAGGAGCAAAGAAACCTTGACCTAATAAAACGATGAAGACGTGGCCACACTGAGGTCCTCGTCTTTGCAGTAAGGACAATTATGGCCGGTGTGGTTCGATGCTTCTGCAGAAGAGACCCTTTATTCCTAATGTTGGTGGCCCTCCTAACTTAGGTTCCCTCCCAAACGGTTGGGGTCTTTTTTATTGCTAACCAGCACAGGAGAGACGGCCACGGTTGAGATCATGCGTGCGAAGAGCAATGCACGGAGAGGGCGGGGCATTCTCAGCACGTCATCGGGGGGAGGAAAGTGATATTCCGATGGTGCACTTGCAGAGGAAGGAGGCCGAAGAGGGAAGAGACAGGAGGAGGTGGAGGAGGAGGAAGAGGAGGAGGAGGAGGAGGAGGAGGAAGAGGAAGAAGAGGAGGAGGAGGAAGAAGAGGAGGAGGAGGAAAAGGAGGAGGAGGAGGAAGAGGAAGAGGAGCAAGGAGGAGGAGGAGGAGGAGGAGGAGGAGGAAGAGCCTCGATCTGGGCGATTTTCGGCCCAGGTGCTGCCCAACGCGTTCCACTACAACGCCGCCGTCAGCGCCTGCACCAGGGGCCTGCGGTGGAGGTCCGCCCTGCACCTGCTCGGGCTCGCCCGCGCGCGCCGCCTGGGCGGCGACGAGGTGAGCTTCAACGCCGGCATGGCACCCCCTCCTGTCCGCATCTCTCGACTGCCATGATGAGGATGAGGATGAGGATGAGGATGAGGATGAGGATGAGGATGAGGATGAGGATGATGATGATGATGATGATGATGATGATGATGATGATGATGATGATGATGATGATGATGATGATGATGCTGATGATGACGATGATGATGACGATGACGATGACGATGATGATGACGATGATGATGATCATTATGATGACGAAATACAAGATATTTCAGCAGCGCTGGAGAAACCATCATCATGATCATCACCATCATCATCATCACCATCATCACCATCATCACCATCATCACCATCAGCATCACCATCAGCATCACCATCATCATAATCATCATAATCTTCATAATCTTCATAATCATCATCAGCATCATCATCAACATCACCATCGTCACCATCATCAGCATCGTCGTAAGAGTGACCGTTCGCCGGAGCGACCTCTGGTACGGGCCCACGGGGGCCTCTCGACCGCCGAGAGCGGTGCGACAGCAGCGGCTTGCGCGCGCTGGGGTTTGGCCCCACCGTGCCCCCCCAATCCGCGCACCAAGGGTCTCTCCTCCTCCTCCTCCTCCTCCTCCTCCTCCTCCCCGTAGCCATTTTGGCTCAAGATGACGACCTGGGGGGCTGTCCAGCCTCCAGGCCGAAGGGAGACCTCTGGACCGAGGACAGTTCCCAGACGGGCGTCGGGCGCGCGCGCGCGGCACCGCTGCAGCCATGGGGAGTGGCGGCGGCGGACGCGGGGCGGGCAGCGCCTGGTCGGGGACCCCGAATCGCCAGAGGGTTCCCCCGTGGAAGAGGAGCAGCAGTGGCAGTCGCCCTCCTCGCAGCAGCTACGTGGTGTGTGACGGGTGCAGCAGATGGCGCTACTGCAAGAATATCACCAGTAGGGGTGACCTCTGCATCTGCGGCAAGAATCTCGCCTGCCTCGTCCCCGACGGACATGTTTTCCGTGACGAAGATGGTGGGTGGCAGACAGCACAGCCCCAAGGAGGAACCTCGCCCAGGATCAGCTGGGCAGATGGTTGGCAGCCAGGTGGTGGTCAAGGCGGGTAAGGACAAGGAGGCCAACGCCAGCCACCACCTCACGACAAGGCTGTCGACCTCAAGGCTGCCGCCGCAGCAGCTTACAGCAAACTCAGCAAGGACGACCCGCTCAGGCAGCACTACGAGGCCCTCTGGCCAGAGCTCGCCGCAGCCAAGCCACCAGCAGACCAACCAGTCGTTGGATTCAAGGCAGTGGAGGCAGCTGCTCGACGCTTGGACAAACTCCAGAAGAAAGTACGATCGGCAGGGGAGCAAGTTGAGAGTGCCCAACCGTACTTGGCTGAGAGTGAACGCAAGCTTCGTGAAGCCATGGAAGCCTCCATTGCAGCCGAAGATGAGTTCGACTAGCTCAAGGCCACAGTCGGCAAGCAAGAGGCACCAGCTGAACCTGCAGCCGAGAAGCCAACTCTGGCAGCCCTCCTGGAGCAGTTCGAGCATGAGCCTGACGACTTCCACAAGTGGTCCGAGCCCGACAAGAAGGTCTGGCGAGCAGCAAAGGCCAAGGGCGAGCGCATGGCCCAGACGGTCAGGGAGCACGAGGAGGAGACGGCGAAGCACCTGCGGCTACTGGAGGAAGAGACGGCCAGGCACCAGGAGCAGCTGCGCCAGCTCGAGCAGGCCCGCACCAAGCGCCTGTCAAAGAGCGGAGAGCAAGACCCAGAAGCAGCAGAAGCCCCACCAGGCAAGCGCGTCTGCGCCGCCAGCCCAGCCGCTCAGCGAGGTGTCACCACATGCACTGAGGCAGCAGGGACAGCCGCCGCGGCTGCGCCCACCGGCGCCGCAGCAGCTGCCCAACCAGAAGCAGGCGCAGCAGAACATGACAAAGCAGAAGAACGCCGAGCCAGAGTGGAGGCCCACATCCAGGAGGCGCGAGAGAAGGTCTCGCAGGCTAGGCGCGCCGAGACAGTCGTCGACGCAGAAGGGCAAGGTGACCACTCAGCAGGGTAGCCGCCCCAAGGCGAGCGCGAAGAAGGCTCGCCGCCCGTGCCGCATCGACTTCTTCAACGTCACGACCTGGGGCCCCCAGGCACAGGGCTACCTCATGGAGATCAACAGTACCAAGGACAGGGACATCATTGGCATCGCGGAGCACCACCTCCGCCAGCCTGCGCAGATAAGCAAGGCAAGAGCGGCGCCCAGGAGGAATGGCATGCACATCTACTGGACCAAGGCACGGCCAGGAGAAGGAGAAGGCACTCGAGGAGGCACGTGTGCCATCACGCGAGGATCCTTGGACATCCAGGACAGGATCGCGGGTTTCGATGAGCGCTACCTGCGCGAGGACGGCAGTGACGTCACGGCGGTGATATCCAACCTGCACAAGGTCCGTTTCGCAGTGGCTTTCGTCTACCTCGAGTGTGGGACGGGCTTTGGAGAGAGGAACGTCGACATCCTCTGCGACCTGCGGGAGAAGATGGCCGTCTGGGGAGGGCCCTGGGCAGCGCTTGGGGACTTCAACATGACGCCGTCGGAGTTCAACAACAGCATTTGGCCCAGGGTGCTGAATGCTCAAGTAGCAGCGGCGGAGGATGGCGCCCCCACATGTTTCCCGGCAGTAGGAGAAGCCAGGTGCATCGACTTCGCGCTGATCTCGCAGGGCCCGGCGCCGTATTTCGACCAGCTGGAGCTGCTCAGGACCGCGCCGTGGAAGCCGCACATCGGCATCCGCTTGAAGTTCAAGGGGCGGCCTCTCATGCTCAAGGGCAGGGTGCTTCGCAGGCCAGCAGCCATAAAGCCGCCAGTCACAGTCGAGAGAACGCCGAAGTCCAGAGCCGCTTGCAGACGAGCGGCGCGCGGAGGCCAGGAGGCCATGCGCCGACGTCAGCAAGCGTTGGCAGAGGCAGGATGCGACCTGGACGAGAACGACATGGAGCCAGTGCCGCAGCTGTACTACGACAAGGAGGTCCAGCACGTCATCCCTGACGAGCTGTGGCAGGCCACCTCCGAGCGGGTCAGCGCGCGCGCCTACGACGAGTTGCCCCAGCACTTGCAGCACGCAGTCGCCGGCAAGATGATGGAGCGGGACATGCTGGATCTGGGGCAACAGTACGACCGCTTCGCAATCACCCTCGAGCTCAGCCTGCGCGAGAGCATCGGCATCCCAGAGGAGGAGCGCGGACGACATCTCGGGCGCAGCAGGCCCCCGAGCTACAAGAGCGTGAGCATCAAGGACACCGTCGCCTCTACGCCATGGGCAGGGGTCGAAAGGAAGATCCACGCGTGGTGGGCGGAGATCTCCTCCTTGGTGCGGCAGCTCTCGCACCATGATGCCCGAGCGCAGGAGGCAGCAGCAAGTCGACAGGGCAAGACCCAGGCACTTCCCGATGAGGACTCAGGAGGTGGACAGGGCCCGTCGGCGTCGGAGCTTGGCCCCGTCATGTCTGGCAGCCAGGTAGGCCACGAAGACGGGGTTCCAGAACTAGCCATGAGCCCATCGAAGAGCTCGGGAGGAAGCTCGGGGGATCGCGCCCCCACCGAGCGGGGTGAGGGCCCCCCCGAGCTGCAGCAGCGGCGTGCAGGCAGTGGAGGCGCAGCAGGAGGCGGCGGCAGTAGCACCAAGGACATCGCGAATCAGCCAGCACTCGAGGAGGTCCCCCCTCCTCAGGCTGAGGTCCAGGAGCTCGCAGAGGGGCCAGCCCAAGAGAGCCCAGAGCGACCCTGCCTCAGCCCAGCATCGCCGCCAAAGGACGCGTCCTGGACCTCCGAGACGGGCACAGCTTTCCAAGAAGTGAGGGCGAGGCGGCCTGGCCCAGAGAAAGAGGCAGGCCCCTCCTCACTCTCCCTGGGGTACCCATCCCCCACACAGGCGAGCGCAGCGGACCATGGGAAGGCAGCTGGCCCCTGCTCTGAGATGGGTCAGGGGTTCCCGTCCCCCGAGTGCGCCGCCACGGGACGCGTCCCAGACCTCGACGTGGGACCAACCCACAGCAGCGCAGACAGTTGCACAGAAGGGATGCAGAGGGGTGCCCTTCCCCCACCAGCAGGACGCAACACCATGGACACTCAAGATCACGACCCCTTCGAGGATGAGGAGGACTACTTGGAGTACCGCCAGGAGATCGCAGACCAGGAGAACAGCGATGGGTACCACCAGCACATCGAGGGGCAGCAGGACAGCCTAGAGTTCGGCCAGACCGTTCGCCGTCGCGCAGCTGGATCTGCTTTTCCCCCACCAGCAGGACGCAGCACCATGGACGTCCAAGACCACGACCCCTCCGAGGAGGAGGAGGACTGCTTGCAGTACCGCCAGGAGACCGCAGATCAGGAGGACTGCGACGGGCACCACCAGCTCATCGAGGGGCAGCAGGACAGCATCGACTACGGCCAGACCGTTCGTCGTCATGCGGCAGGATCTGGTACAACTGCCCCAGGTGACACGCACTGCTCACCTCCTCAGCCAGCTGGCACTCTGGAGGCAGAGGGTACCGATCACCTGGGGAGTCAGAACCAAGCGCCGCCAGGCCCAGAGGCAGAGGAGCAACGAGATATGGGCCTGCCCCCACCAGACCTCTGGAATGAGGACCAGCACCAGCGGGAGCGGGAAGACTACGTGGCCATGAGAGACGACCTGGAGTACTGGGCGGCCATCTGGATGGATAACTTGGTGCAGCTCCCCACGGACAACAGCAACTGGATGCAGATCTGTGTGCCGTTCCTGGAGACCATCTTGGGTGGCGGAGGCAACATGGCATGGTGAGACTGCTCAGGCGTAGGTACCAGCAGGCCGGCCTCAGCCACATCATCAGGGACCTCTGCGAGCGAGCATGGAGACATGCAGAACCACGACGCCGAGGCTTTCTCCAAGGTCTTACGCGAGAGGAGCCGACGAGGAGGCACGAATTGGAAATGATGCATTGGAGGGAGCTCGCTAACCTGCGGAGGTTTATGCGAGAAGTTATAGGCGAACGAGCACCAGAAGGAGCAGCGCG